GATAGTAATATTTAATTGTTGTTCAGAGTATTGCCCGGATAGGGTTTACTTTTTCCACAATGAAATCAAGCATAACTAGAGAAATTGCATTTCCTGTGAAAATGCAGTGCGAATGCTTGTTCAATTCAAAAAATTCAAATTCAAAAATATTTTATTAATCCCATAGGGAAATTAAGTGTTGTCGTAGATCATCATCCTGGTTTCATTTGAGAGTTGTTATAGCTGCTGATAGCTTTGTTGCACAAGAACTTGCTGAGAAACAACTGAAATTAGCTAAAATATGCTGAAATGTAGCTGAAACGGAAGAACAAGCCAAAATTAGGAGAAGAAAGCAGGAAGAACACATATTTGGTGAAACAGGTTTAAATAAGCATAAAGTATCACAAAAATTAGAAAATTAGCTTAAAAAATGCAGAAATTAGCAAAAAATGGCTGAAAGGTAGATGAGAGGCGAAAACAAGCTTAAACTGCCAGAAGGAAGTGGAAGGAGCTGAAGTTACATTGAAAGTGTGGAATTAGCTGAAAGAGTTAAAATATGCATAAAAACATCTATATAGTAGATGAAATAGCACAAAAAGCTGACGTGCAGAAAAATCTGAAATGAACACAACAAGCTGAAATTAGGAGAAATAAGTTGTAGTTAGCAGAAAGAATCTAAAAGGATCACAAAACAGCTAAAAAAAACCAGCTGAAATTAGCTGGTAGTAGCTGAAAAAAGTGTAAATTTGCAGAAGCTGAAGCAGAACAAAATGTGAAAGGAGCAGTGAAAGATTGTAAACACATCTAAAGATGTGAAGGATGGAAAATAAACTCAATTCATGTTATATGAGAAAAATAAATGGCAGAAAAGGCTAAATGTTTCAAAAAGCTAAAGTTGCACCAATATCAAAAGCACCATTCTGCATAAAGCGCTGAACATTTTGATTTATGATTTGTTGAAATGGCACAAAAACTGTGGAACGAGAAAGATGCTGTAAAACAGAGAAGAAGAAAAAATATCACAATAGTGTGAATTCTTCATAAACACAACTTCTTCATTCACACAACAAGAGGGAGAGTTCCACTCATCTTAAAGACAGTTCAGTTAAGTGAGGCGACTGCTGCGGCACTCTTAACTAGTAAAACACAGCTTAAAGCACGTAGTATGTGAGTGTACTTAAAGAGCTTTTTAATACTTTAAAGTAGTCGTCCAATTACTGTTAAACAGAGTAGGAGCTGTGCACAGTGAGAGCTCCTGGGCAAAATGCAGGTAACTGTTTGTTGAGCCTACAATAAAACTGTAGGGGTATTTCAAATACACTACATATGGAGAAATCAGAGGTGCAGACTAATTGGGGGCAAAGAAGCAACGCTGCAGGGATGTCCATTATGTGTGTTTTTAACCATGTTTCTTTCATTTTCTTATTTTTGCAGTGAACTCGGTGTCAGCAAGTAGTTATCCACTCTGCCAGTAACATGGGTTTAGTTTGTGTTGTTTTTCTTCTGATTTTTTTTCCTTAAGTCAAGTGTTCGTTGCATTTTCAGAGAGTCGAACTAGTACAACAAAAGAAAGAAAAACATCTGCTCAGCTTCAGCTCTTTTGACCCTGGGGACCTGCTACAACAGCCTATGAACCAGGCAGATTATGCAACATGAAGCTGATGAATAAAAGTGAATGTCAGTGTCAGACAGGCGCACGTGAGCTCCGTATACTCAACTCTGGTCGCTCCAATTCTAAAAACAAATCAAACCTGTTTTTAAATCCTCCTATATATCTCATAACCTTGTGTTAAAGTGTCACTTTACTTTTATTGCAGTAAACAAACAGTGATTTTTTTTTTTTTTACATGGTGCGTTAGTGAGTACAGGAAAAACACAAATCAAAGATCAAGACTCAAACCACATTTGCAGTTTATAGGGGCAAACTTTATCGTTTAAGTTCTGCATTTCAGCTTATCTTTACCGGGGTCACCGAAAAACATCTCAGCATTTAACAAGTATAGAAGTGAAAAAATACAAAACACCCACTCCGTTCTAAGCTGGCCTGTGTTTTTCCTTTTAATTGCCTAGGGTTCCTTTTTCTAACTGCAAAAAAAAAAAAATCATAATTTTTAGTGTATTTGGAGTAAAAACACAAACAAAACCTGCTGAATATTCTATTATTTTGCATTTAAGCTGAACAAAAAAGCAGTAGTTGGTGCTGTTGCTCCACAGGATGGAGGTTACAGGTCTCAAACTTGTCTGGAAACTTTATGCGTGCAGTTTGCATGTACCACTTGTGCACGTTTTTTTTTTGTTTGTTTGTTTGTTTGCTGGGTACTCTGTCTCTGGGTAGTCCTCCCAGAGGCTAAAAACACTCAGGTCAGGTTAAGCTTATCTGCAACTGCTGTGAGACTAGTAAAAAACAAACAAAAAAAAACTTCAAATTTGAGGGAAAATACTTTAATTTCAAGTTACAGTATCACTAACTGGTAAAGTTTGCAATCATGGGACCAGCGAGCCCAGGCTGCATTTTGAGCGGTCCGTTTTTAAGAATCACAATCTAGTGTCAAAACTGTATTTTATGGCAGTGCATATTATTTTGTATTTTGTTACTCAACATTGCCAACCTCGTACACAGCTAAGCTTGTTTTGTACTCACCTTGGCAGCCACCCACACATCTATGATTCCATCTACTAAATTATACTTTGGAAACAAAGATAGGCAGATTAGGATTGAGTTTTCAGTAACTACTATGTATCTGTCAATGTGGTATTTATACTAAAATATTTGCTTTGGATTGTTTCTGTCAAAAGAGATCTCCAGTGCAGGGCTGGAAATACACATTTTAAACTCTTCAGATGGGTTGGAAAAGCATTCTGCAACATTCAGAGGAGCTCTACACAGGGTGGAGATGCCAACAACAACTTTGTGAAATTCTGACAGAAAAAAATGTTGCACTAATTTTCTGAACATGTTAAAAATGTATGCAACAGAGCTGCATGCCTCTGCAACTCACACAAGGAAGGTGAAAACGCCACAAAAATCACTAAATATCCAATTCATTTCAGTTTATTTATGTAGCGCCCAATCACAACAGAAGTCATCTCAGGGCACTGAACAGAAATATTCATATATATATATAAAAAAACAAGTTAATAACATTATTTATCTGAGGAGCAGACTGCTTTGAATTTAACTTCAGCGCAGAACTCTCATCTTGAGCAAGCATGAAGGCGACAGTGGAAAGGAAAAACTCCCTCATGAGGAAGAAACCTCCAACAGAACCAGGCTCAGAACAAGCGGCCATCTGTTTTGATCGGCTGGGTTTGAGAGGAACAGGAAGGAGGAACAGATACACAATGGCAGGTCGAGAATCACGTTAAGATAGAAATAGCATCAAATGAAAACTATTAATTTTAACTATTCATTTAAGGAAATGAGGTCAGTTTGTCCTCTAGTAGTCTAAACCTATAGCAGCATAACAAGCCAACCCTAACTATAGGATTTATCAAAAAGGAAATTCTTACGCCCAGTCTCCAAACTGGACAATGTGTCAGCCTCATAGACAGAAACTGGAAGTTGGTTCCACAAGAGCATTCTGCTTTTGGAAACTCAAGGAACCACAAGTAAGCCTAAAGTCTGAGAGTGAAGTGATCTGTTAGGAAAATATGGAACAATATGATCTGTAATATAAGTTGGAGTTAGGTTGTTGAGAGCTTTGTAGGTTGGAAGTAAGATTTTGAATTCAGTTCTGGATTTGACAGGGAGCCAATGGAGAGAAGCTAAAACTGGAGAGATATGATCTCTCCCACTAACCCCAGTTAAGACTCTGGCAGCAGCATTTTGGATTAACTGAAGACTTTTTAAAGAAGTATTGGGATTATTTTATCCAGTGGACTCCCTAATGAAAACCATTTTCTAGTCACTAGTCACCACCATTATTAAACAATTTTAAATTGGCATTGATAGTGAGTGTAAACTTGTTTTGTGTGGCTCTGTGCTGTGCTGAACTGTTAACCTGGACCACCCTCTCAGTGATCATTGGATATAGCTACAGTGTGCGTTCTCAGGACATTATTACCTGCAGTGTTCGCTCATTGAGAACTGAACTAGGCAAAAGAGCCTTCTCCTACTCCACTCGTATCGTGGAATAACTTACAAAAAGAGCTGAAGCTCTCGAACTTGACCTCTCTAAGTGGCTTCAAACATCTGCAAAGTTCCTGGGAAAAAAAAAAACAACACAGACCTGTTCCTGCTTATTTCTACATCACCTTACAACCTAGCTGTTTTCTGTTACTTTCTTTTTTTAAATGCCATTTTATTTTCACTTGTTTTTCTCAATTTGTACGCATCCTTAATGATTGTCTGTTGTTGCCTTTGTTGTCCATTGTTGTCATCACTCTGTTAAAATCAGGTCTCTCTTGTAAATGAGTCCCCGAAGCTCAATGGGATTAACCTGTGTAAATAAAGGTTGAATGAATGTAAAACCTTCTCTAAACTCTGCACCACCACTCCCGCCAGAGTTAAATCTGCTTTTGTATATGTGCTTATTAAAAATGTATTAGATATAGACACCAGCTCTCTGTGACCATTGCTTGTAACAGGTGGGTATTGAACATTAATAACTAGATGTTTTAAAGATAAAGAGCACTAAAATCAAATTTCAGATATTGACTCAAGATTAATTTATTTATTTTTTTCGTTAAAGAACTGAAACAAAATAAGCATTGCAAACTGAATGGCAGGCAAAATAAATAATTCAGCTTTGCATTCACAAATGACTCCAAAGTCGGGGTACTCAAAAGAATTTTCATCATATCTGCACAGCACATTTACATGAATATTCAAATCCACATGTCATTTTATAAACAGCCACATTTGATGACAAGCACTTAACTGATGGACTCAGATGTGACACCTCAGACATTCAGCTACAAGTGTTTTATATATCCACAGACGACAAGTTGAAATGTACATTAACCTGTTCTGTAACTGTTAAATGTGTAAAATATTTTATTTGTTTTTGTGTGTATTTCAGGAGCTGATCACAACCCTGTACATTGGATTCTTGAGCCTGATCTTCTCCTCATACTTTGTCTATCTGGCAGAGAAAGACACTCTCGACAGCAGAGGCTCCCTTGAGTTTGGAAATTATGCCGATGCTTTGTGGTGGGGAGTGGTAAGACTGTGAGAGTTCATTTGTTTTTCAGCTTCGCTAACCTTCTCTTTTGTGTTGCGCCACCAGTTAAAGCCTCTTCGTTTAGTCATTGATCCCTAACTTTTGCTTTCCTAGTTGAAGCAATAATAAGAATAAGCTGGAAAAGACTGTTTGAATCCAAGTGTTTCCTAATGTATTAGTTATTGCTCATTATGTCAAATTCTATTCTATCTGTCAGTTCTAAACATGGTGGTAAACGTGTAAGTCAGAGGAGATTATCACCTATTTGACTCTGTGATCTTTAACAAGCAAGCAGAAACACCCAAAGCTCTACATGATATAGAGAGAATAAAATGCCTGTTATATATTTAAATGTGCAAAAGTTTGCACATCACAACGGGTGAGATTAGTTCTGAACCACGCTTGATAAAAGGCTCTGACTTTGAGTTCAAAAACACAAATGATGAACAGAAATCTGTTTAAAGTGATTGATATTTTATTTTTAGTACTCTTATGAACAAGTGGCTCTTATGCAGCAATTAGCTGATCTAGTTGAAACAAATAAAGAAGCAAAAAAAAATAATGAATTCAGTTTATTTAAGTAGCACCAAGTCACAACAGAAGTCGTCTCAGGGCACTGAACAAAAACATTCATTTATATAAAAAAAATATTTTAACATTATTTATCTGAGAAGCAGACTGCTTTGAATTTAACTTCATCACAGAACTCTCATCTTGAGCAAGAATGAAGGCAACAGTGGAAAGGAAAAACTCCCTCATGAGGAAGAAACCTTTAGCAGAACCAGGATCAGGACAAGTGTCCATCTGCTTTGACCGGTTGAGTTTGAAAGGAACAGATACACAATGGCAGGTCAAAAATCGCATTAAGATAGAAATAGTATCAAATGAAAACTATTAAATTGTAACAATTGATTTAAGGAAATGAGGTCAATTTGTCTTCGAGTAGTTTAAGCCTATGGCAGTGTAACAAGCCAACCCAACTATAGGATTTATCAAAAAGGAAAGTCTTATTCCCAGTCTTAAAACTGGACAATGTGTCAGCCTCATGGACAGAAACTGGAAGTTGGTTCCACAAGAGAGGAGCCTGATAATTGAAAGATCTTCCTCCCATTCTGCTTTAGTAAACTCTAGGAACCACAAGTAAGCCTGCAGTCTGAGAGTGAAGTGTTCTGTTAGGAAAATATGGAACATTAAGATCTTGTATATAAGATGGACTTAAGTTGTTGAGAGCTTTGTAGATTAGAAGTAAGATTTTCAGAATCAGCTGTATTGTCATTGCACCAAAGCACAATGAAATTACAGTTCAGTACAGCCCGTCCAAGTAAAACATGAACAAACAGACATGGGGAGATGGAAGTGTCTGAGGCTGTGGCCTCATGGGAGGCGCTGCCCGTTTTGTTTAGATAAGAAAAGAGAAACACGAGGGAAGAGGAGGTGTAAAAAAAAAAAAATCATATTTCACACTGTGTCCTAGATGGGACACAGTGTGAAAGTTGGAAAAAAAAAAAACCCTCAGCACAGAAATAGCAACATATTGATGACATTATAA